GCAATAGCACATACAGTTTGTACAGTATAAAAACCATTACGCCTATGGAATGTCCCCATAAAACATGGAAACACAACATGTGCGTGTGTGTGTGTGTGTGTGTGTGTGTGTTGTTTCATACAGTGGTGATGTGACAGAGTATTGATCACCCTCTAATATCAATCCCATGATAACATTAAGACTAACTAAAACTAGTTACTGAAGGCCAATGGAGATTAATAACTCATAATCATTTTGCAAAATCAATCATGCAGGTTTCATTGAGAGATGATTTCATCTACTGCATACCGTCATTAAAGTAATAACGCAAAAAATATTGATGTATCTTGATGTTGCATTATAGTTTCTTCGGATGAGTATTTTGGTGTCTGGATTCATTAAATCATTAATAAATAAATATGTATGCATGCAAGTAACACAACATTATATAATGCATACAATACATATAATGCTATCTATCTATCTATCTATCTATCTATCTATCTATCTATCTATCTGTCTGTCTGTCTGTCTGTCTGTCTATTTATTGTTGCATTAAGTTCTTCAGATGACTATTTTGGTTTCTGTATTCATAAAATCACAAGTAAATAAACAAGTAAATAATTTATTTGAGCATGTAATGCAACATTACATGATACCATTTATTTATTTATTGTTGCATTAGGTTCTTCAAATGAGTACTTTGGTTTCTGGATTCATCAAATCATCAGTAAGTAAGTAAATAGTTCTTTTCATTTATTTATTTGTTTGTTTGTTTGTTTGTATATGTTGAATTCTAGGTTCCTCAGGTGAGTATTTCGTACAGTGTCTGAATTCATCAGTAGCTGTATTTTTTCTCTTTAGGAAGTAACAGATTTTGCTGAACTTGCGCAACACAAGACTGTGTTTTTAATCAAATTGAACACGTGTATGGAACTTATCTCATTGGTTTTAAATTTCATTTGATCTAACATCTCATTTTTATCTTATTTTATCTAATTTATTTTATTCGTTTAGTATTCCTCCATCTATATTCTTAAAATACACGCAATTTATCCACAGGTAGATTTATAATTCAGCATCATTTCAATGTTTGCCATTAGACACCAAACGCGTTCATGAAGCCTTCCAGTGACAGATCCTTGTATGTGCAAACATACTTGGCAATAAAGCTCTTTCTGATTCTGATTCTGTATTCCTCCATCTATATTCTTAAAATACACGCAATTTATCCACAGGTAGATTTATAATTCAGCATCTCACGCGACTCGCGGGAGTTTGTGAGACGCATTCATGTAGCCTTCCAGTGACAGAAGACAGAGCTGTAGACATCAGCTTGCTGCTCAAACCCATGATATGTGAAGATGCATTTAATGTAATAAACAAGCGTGCTGAATGGACACAGATTGGAGAGTCTCGAGCTCAATGCATGGGGGGATCAAGAGTTAATCCGACTGTGCTCCGCCCAAAGCCGCGGCTCTCTTTCATCTCCCCATTATCTGCAGATGGAGGACGGCTTGTCTTGAGTGGATGATGTTGCTCTCCGTCAGTTGATTGCATCAGTGCATTGATGACTCTTCTCAGGTACTTGAGGTGAACACACGAGGTGCTCAGACTCGCTGGCGCCTGGATATCACAAGTGCGCCGAACGTGTGAACAAGCCCATTGCGACATCTATTAACTTCAATTACAGGGTTGTAATTCCGCCGAGAGTCGCTTTACTCATGCAAATGAGCGGAGAAGCGCCTATAAAGTTCAGGAGGAATACATCTGATCAAGTTATTAGGAGGAAGCATCATGTTCAAGAAGTTCTCCGTGGAGTGGTTGTCCCAGAGCTTCCATGCACAAGATCTGGAGCAGGAGAAATGCGTCAAATTAATTGCATGTGCTCCTGATGCCTTCAGTGGTGCTCCTCAAGCATCTTCAGAAACGCTTGGAGAAGGAGAAACCAAGGCCCCGTCTTCTCCTACAAGTAAGTACGACCGTCTCACTGTGATATTCAGTGTTTTTCTGGGTTGGTAGTGGCTCTAGCAGGTTGTTTCTCTCGCATCAGACAGCTGTGGCTACACCTCGGCCTCTGAGAGCGATGAGAGCGAGGGAGAATCCGCGTCGCAGCGGCGCGTCAGAACCAAGTTCAGCTCGGACCAGATCTCGCGTCTGGAGAAGACCTTCAGCAAACACAAGTACCTCGGCGCGAGTCAGAGACGCAGAACAGCGGAGAAGCTGCAGCTGTCGGAGACACAGGTGTGTATGAGATCACAACTCTAGCCGTGACAGCAGAGAGTTGAACTTATATTCAGAAAGAGTAAAAGAGGCATTTGCATTTGTCACACATCTGGCCTGTTAATGTGAACTGCAAGATAGCATGTCTTTATATAGCTAAATAAATATTCAAATAAATAAATAAATAATAATTTTTTTTTAATGCAGAACATATAATGCACTATTTATTTATTTATAATGAACCTATAATGCAACATAAATAAATAAATGAATAAATACTTTATATTTTAAATTAATTTGCATTTAATGTAATAAACAAGCGTGCTGAATTGACACAGATTGGAGAGACTCGCGCGCAATGCATGGGGGGATCAAGAGTTAATCCGACTGTGCTCCGCCCAAAGCCGCGGCTCTCTTTCATCTCCCCATTATCTGCAGATGGAGGACGGCTTGTCTTGAGTGGATGATGTTGCTCTCCGTCAGTTGATTGCATCAGTGCATTGATGACTCTTCTCAGGTACTTGAGGTGAACACACGAGGTGCTCAGACTCGCTGGCGCCTGGATATCACAAGTGCGCCGAACGTGTGAACAAGCCCATTGCGACATCTATTAACTTCAATTACAGGGTTGTAATTCCGCCGAGAGTCGCTTTACTCATGCAAATGAGCGGAGAAGCGCCTATAAAGTTCAGGAGGAATACATCTGATCAAGTTATTAGGAGGAAGCATCATGTTCAAGAAGTTCTCCGTGGAGTGGTTGTCCCAGAGCTTCCATGCACAAGATCTGGAGCAGGAGAAATGCGTCAAATTAATTGCATGTGCTCCTGATGCCTTCAGTGGTGCTCCTCAAGCATCTTCAGAAACGCTTGGAGAAGGAGAAACCAAGGCCCCGTCTTCTCCTACAAGTAAGTACGACCGTCTCACTGTGATATTCAGTGTTTTTCTGGGTTGGTAGTGGCTCTAGCAGGTTGTTTCTCTCGCATCAGACAGCTGTGGCTACACCTCGGCCTCTGAGAGCGATGAGAGCGATGAGAGCGATGAGAGCGAGGGAGAATCCGCGTCGCAGCGGCGCGTCAGAACCAAGTTCAGCTCGGACCAGATCTCGCGTCTGGAGAAGACCTTCAGCAAACACAAGTACCTCGGCGCGAGTCAGAGACGCAGAACAGCGGAGAAGCTGCAGCTGTCGGAGACACAGGTGTGTATGAGATCACAACTCTAGCCGTGACAGCAGAGAGTTGAACTTATATTCAGAAAGAGTAAAAGAGGCATTTGCATTTGTCACACATCTGGCCTGTTAATGTGAACTGCAAGATAGCATGTCTTTATATAGCTAAATAAATATTCAAATAAATAAATAAATAATAATTTTTTTTTAATGCAGAACATATAATGCACTATTTATTTATTTATAATGAACCTATAATGCAACATAAATAAATAAATGAATAAATACTTTATATTTTAAATTAATTTTTTATTTATTTATTTATAATGAACCTATAATGCAACATAAATAAATAAATATATAAATACTTTAAATTAATTAATTAATTAGTTAGTTAATAAATACATTTATTTATGTTGCATTATCGGTGAATTCATTAAGTCTTCAGTAAATAAATAAATAAAGACAAGTTTTGAGAGTTACAAGTCACTAAAAGCAAGAAAAGAATTGCAAACATAAATATTTTATATTTTTAATTTATTTATATTTATTTTTGTATTTATTTTATTTATTTATTTTGTTCTTAGAGATTTTAATTATTGCGATCTGTATGAGGAGCTTTGCAAGCAACTGAATCACATTCATTAGTTAAAATTGTTCTTAACACGTGAATATTTTAGTGTTTACCTTGTGAATGTAGTGAAACATAATGTTGAAATTGGATATTTATGTTATTTATTTATGCATTTATTTATTTGTTTATCTGAGGTGAAAACGTGGTTCCAGAACAGACGGATGAAGCTGAAGCGGGAAGTTCAGGACGCGCGCGCAGCCGAGTTTTTTGTAGTGCTTCCGCCGGTGACGTCATTTCAGCACCACGCCGCGAGCGGACAGCGCGAGCGCCTCTATTTCCCGCCACAGATTCCCGCGCGACAAATCCCGCCACCGATGCTGTTCCCGTCCTGCTACTTTTAAACCTCCTCATTGTTTTTTTTTTTCTTCTACTTTTTTTTAATGATCGAATATTTGTAATCTATAATCTTGATGTAATATAAAAATGTATAAAAATCCCCTAAAACAGGGTTTTTAATAAGTAAAATATAGAAGCAAGCACTGTATGTAGTTCTATAAACAAACTGAATATGTATGTACATAAATAAATATTGTCTTTACGCAAAATCTGAAAAATCCTATAAAATAAAAAAAAATACTTTGAATCAAGCCTCTTCGACTTTTATGTATCAGTCGTGTCTATACCATAATTTTGTTATAGATAGATAGATAGATAGATAGATATGTTACAGTAAATTATTATATTTCTTAATTACATTTATATAATTAAATTTTTTTTTATATATATTTTTATCAAACCTGTTAAATCAAGTTTGAAAAAATAATTAAAATTAATAATTAAAAATATTTATATTTATTTATTTTCTAGGATATGCAATGTGTGTCATAAAAGTGCCTCAATAAAAATAAATAAATAAATAAAAAGCGCAATGGGCGTTAAAACAAAAAAAAACTATTTTTTCTTGTTATGTGTGAATATCATAAAACCTGTCATATAAATACACTGTATTTGATAGCTGCTGAATTGTTACATATAATGTCATGGTATATGTACAGTGGCCAGATAATGACAATGTTCTTGTTTGTGATTCTCAGATCCTCAGTATGCACTTCAGTATTGATTTATTGTAAGGAGCTATCTGAATAACAGAGAGCAGAAGGTGTCTAACTCCTTTTCCGTTCCAGCTGGTGTTCCTCAAGGGGAACTACTATCACCTCTGCTTTTTGTCATATGCAGAAATGGCCTGGATTCATATTTGCCTCCTTCGGTAATCCCTGTGAAATATGCTGATGATCTAACAATCACAGAGTTTGTAATGGGATCCTTACCTGGACTCACTCAGAAGGCACTGGATTCTGTAGTGGAATGGGGACAGGGATTTACATTGGCGATGAATGGAGCTAAGACTGTGGACATGGTAGTTAGTGCCAGGAGAGAGGACAGCATTCCCTCCCCTCCCTCTCCTGTTATTTCAGGACATGCAATTAGCAGAGTTTCCACCTTTAAATTGCTTGGAGTTCAAATATACCCTGACTTGTCATGGGGCGCCCCCATTAAGCGCATGATTTCGAAGGTGCTGCTAAAAAAGCAGGGCTTCCTTGTGATGTTTTAGTGCAGGTATACTTGATTTTATATGGCCAGTTCTCGAGTATGCTAGTCCAGTATGGGTGGACTAGTGCTGGGCGGTATGACCAAAAATTTATATCACGGTATTTTTCAAAATTATACCGGTTTCACGGTACATGACGGTATTTTTTTTTTCATGCATGACCGGGTGTTAAGCATATTTTCTACTGATTGAGAGGAAATACTGCAGTATATTGACTTAGAATGCCCTGACAGCGCGAGCGCCTCTATTTCCCGCCACAGATTCCCGCGCGACAAATCCCGCCACCGATGCTGTTCCCGTCCTGCTACTTTTAAACCTCCTCATTGTTTTTTTTTTTCTTCTACTTTTTTTTAATGATCGAATATTTGTAATCTATAATCTTGATGTAATATAAAAATGTATAAAAATCCCCTAAAACAGGGTTTTTAATAAGTAAAATATAGAAGCAAGCACTGTATGTAGTTCTATAAACAAACTGAATATGTATGTACATAAATAAATATTGTCTTTACGCAAAATCTGAAAAATCCTATAAAATAAAAAAAAATACTTTGAATCAAGCCTCTTCGACTTTTATGTATCAGTCGTGTCTATACCATAATTTTGTTATAGATAGATAGATAGATAGATAGATATGTTACAGTAAATTATTATATTTCTTAATTACATTTATATAATTAAATTTTTTTTTATATATATTTTTATCAAACCTGTTAAATCAAGTTTGAAAAAATAATTAAAATTAATAATTAAAAATATTTATATTTATTTCTTTTCTAGGATATGCAATGTGTGTCATAAAAGTGCCTCAATAAAAATAAATAAATAAATAAAAAGCGCAATGGGCGTTAAAACAAACAAAAAAAATTTTTCTTGTTATGTGTGAATATCATAAAACCTGTCATATAAATACACTGTATTTGATAGCTGCTGAATTGTTACATATAATGTCATGGTATATGTACAGTGGCCAGATAATGACAATGTTCTTGTTTGTGATTCTCAGATCCTCAGTATGCACTTCAGTATTGATTTATTGTAAGGAGCTATCTGAATAACAGAGAGCAGAAGGTGTCTAACTCCTTTTCCGTTCCAGCTGGTGTTCCTCAAGGGGAACTACTATCACCTCTGCTTTTTGTCATATGCAGAAATGGCCTGGATTCATATTTGCCTCCTTCGGTAATCCCTGTGAAATATGCTGATGATCTAACAATCACAGAGTTTGTAATGGGATCCTTACCTGGACTCACTCAGAAGGCACTGGATTCTGTAGTGGAATGGGGACAGGGATTTACATTGGCGATGAATGGAGCTAAGACTGTGGACATGGTAGTTAGTGCCAGGAGAGAGGACAGCATTCCCTCCCCTCCCTCTCCTGTTATTTCAGGACATGCAATTAGCAGAGTTTCCACCTTTAAATTGCTTGGAGTTCAAATATACCCTGACTTGTCATGGGGCGCCCCCATTAAGCGCATGATTTCGAAGGTGCTGCTAAAAAAGCAGGGCTTCCTTGTGATGTTTTAGTGCAGGTATACTTGATTTTATATGGCCAGTTCTCGAGTATGCTAGTCCAGTATGGGTGGACTAGTGCTGGGCGGTATGACCAAAAATTTATATCACGGTATTTCTTTCAAACAGTGTCGCGTTCCCAACATTGTTTAAGCGACATACATCGGTATTGCGGTATTTTAAAATTAATATCATAACAAAAATAAACACCGGTATTCGGTATGAACCGGTATACCGCCCAGCACTAGGGTGGACTTCCGAAAGGTCTCTCTGAGGAGTTAGAGAGCATCCAAAAGCGATGCTGTCGGATAATAGGCATCTGACTTCAACTCTCCCAGCACTGAGAGAGAGGCGTGATGAAGCCACCATACGTACTTTCACTAAAATACTCAGGGACAGTTCATCACCGCTGCATTGTCTCCATATGGCTCCAACACCTACTTATTCTCTTCGGCGGCACAAGACATTTGCTGTACCCAGGAGTAAAACTAAACGACATGAACTCTCCTTTACTCCCCGCGCTCTAAAACTGTTGTATAGATAACTTACAGGTGCTTGATTAGGATGCCGTTTCTGTGTATCTGTGTTATTTATATACATTTTTATTTTTTTATTTTTTTTTTATTCTGCTTGTATATTAACATTCTGCCGGCGGCACAAGACATTTGCTGTACCCAGGAGTAAAACTAAACGACATGAACTCTCCTTTACTCCCCGCGCTCTAAAACTGTT